GGTTTAGACGCTTTGAGGTAGAGGCTCTGCTCCCTCCTGTGTGCTACTGCCCCTTCCTGTAACTTCTGTGGCTCCTTTCTCCGGGGTCGCCTCCATCCTCCAGACGCTTTTTCTCAGTGCGATGCTCTGCCTCTGGAGTCCGCAACCTCTGGGGCTCCGTCCTGTGCCTTGGCGCCTCTCCTGCTCCATCTCATCTACTCCAACCGCTTCGACCAGCATGTATGCTTGAGGCTGACTCGCGATGCATAATTCTGTCCCGAACCTCTCTCTCTTGAGCTCCAGACCCATATTTTAACCCATTTATGAGGCAGGGTCCCCATCTGCACCTCATACTCAACTGCCCAAACCCAAAATCCTCTTTTATCCCCCAAACTTGGTCCGTCATTTTATTGTCCAATTTGGTAAATTGCACTTCCATCCTTTCATGTAACCAAGCTAAAGAAGTGGTTCTATGCATTAGCCCATAGAGTCAATTCTTATTAATTAGGCTAGCTTTCCAATATCCCTTTTTTAAATCCCTCTTTACTGCCAACACCTCGCTTTGGAGCTTGTATCAGTTTAAGTCTTTTGGTTGCAAGCAACAGAAATGAACTCTAAGTTAAACAAAAAAAAAAGGGGGGGGGTGGATGTATTTGAAAGGATGTTGGGAAAGCTCACAGGACTGAAGGGAAAACCGAGTAAGCATACTTCAGGGTGGGCTAGATCTAGGGCGACTCTGGAGAGCTCAGTGGGTACAGCTCAGTCTTTCAGTCTGGGACACTGCATGTGGTAACTCGGGCACAGTCGTCTTTCATCTTTGCGTGTCTTTATCAGACTTTCAGATTCCTAGTAGAGAGAATCTAGTCGATCATGTTTCATAAGCCACTCAGAGCTAGAAGACGGAGGAGCAGCACAAATCTGTGAGCGCATCCTTAAAATCCCTCAGCCCTTTCTCAGAACTGCAGGTAGCCTCCTTGAAGGCCTCGGCACTTTTCCAGTCTATGCTTCGTGCATCTTTAAAATCTATAGTTCACACTGCCACCATTTTTATAGTTCTAAAAAATATACCATTCAATGTATCTCCTTAGTTAAAATTCCTTGATAGTTCTTCATTACTCAGAGAACAACCTACAAGCTTCTATCAGGGACTTCACTCTAGGGTTTGGACCCTGGCTGCCTTTCTAGTTTCATCTGTTGCTACTTTTCTGTTAAATCTTCTGTTTCAAGCATCCCGCAGTTATTGGCAATTCCCATAGACAAGTCATGCTTTGTTCTGGCTTCGTGTTTTTCCCTCTTTCTCAAGTACCCACACTCTCTTTGCTTCACCTGGTTAACTCACACTCCTCTTTCCAGGCTCACGTTAGGTATTGGATCTTTCCTAGTCTCTTCCCACCTGGGCTAAGTGCTCTTCCTCTGTGCTCTGATTGCATCCTGAACTTATGTCTAATATAGACACTGCAGCCTGTCCCGTTTGTCTCTTACCTTGTCCCTCTTCCTGGCCAAATGTCCGACTTATGTTTGGCTCCCAGTAGCTACATGTCATAAATGTTTGGTAAATATATTGAAATAAACAACTATTGGTTTTGAATGCCTATTAACAAAGCACCCTGGGGGAAAGAAATACACACATATAGTTTCACATATCTACATTGTGAAACTATGTAGAAATTGTGGGGAAAAAAATATATATATTTTCACATTTCTACAATGTGAAACTATATATACATTTCTACATTCAGTGCCCTTACTACCTAGGAGGTAAACAATACTTACGCAAATTTAAAGTGTAGGTAGAACTACAAAATACTGTACAACTTCAGGCACACAAAAAAAACTGACCAGAGGCTAGAATTAGAGATCGAATTGATCTGGCAATTCTTCTCTGAAGAGGAAACACTTGAGCAGTAACATAAACAAGATTTAAATGGTTTGAAGAGGGTGGGACAGTGTTTTAAGTATAGGAAGTGAGAGAAAAAGGCTCATTATGTTTGAGGAACAGAGTGGAAACATTGGCCAAGAGAGAGGTTGATTAAAATATGGTGAAAAGGCATGTGTGTGTGTGTGTGTGTGTGTGTGTGTAGGAAAGTCACAGGTTAGGGCACAAAATGGGGCAGACGCACCTTCCATTCTCTGACTCGGACATAGAACGCCTCAGCATTCTAGATTGCCTGTTCATCACAAATTCCCTGTGTCTCCTTCAGAATCAAGGGAAGAATAATTAAGATATTTCCAAAAGGTAGAGTTTCCATATCAAGGAATTTCACCTCTCTCCCTGAAGTTAAGATTTCCTGCTGTCATTTCAGGTATCGTACACCAGCTATTTCTATTCTTGTTTCTGAAGTGGTTTTTGTGTTTGCGTGATTTGTTTTTCTACCCAGGCAAGCAGCACCAGATTTCTACCTTCCAGGTTACTGGCTCCTACTTGTTTTCATTTTAATATATCCATGAACTGGAAAAAACTATATGGGAGAAAAGAGTGAAAAGCTCACTAGTCTATTATCCTCAAAGGGAACTTTCAGAATTTAACTCAGTCTAGTCATAAACTTTAGACAATTATCTTTAGGGTTTCTGTCTAGACAATTAAACTAGCCCTAAACAATCACCTAGTGATACCATCAACACTAACATAGATCTTTCCCCCAAGCCCATGGACTTCATAAGAGCTTCAGCTGATCGGCCTTACGAAAGTTCTACTTAATTGTTCAAGAGCACCCGAATTTGATCCCACCCTACCTATCTACTGTTATGTCTTTGATGGTAGCTACTTAATACAACAACAAAAACAAATAATCTTCCAATTAGGCTGTTTCACAAACAGTCCTGCAAGGCCCAGTTCAATCTTCGCATCCTTTGGGAAACGTCTCCCCCTCAAGCACCACTAACCTCTCTTTTCTCTGATTGGTGGGTTCTAAATCCCCAACTCTTTTCTTCCATTTCTAATAAGTAAAATGCAGCAACTCCCTGGGGCTCCCTACTGATACACACACACACTTTTCTCAGCTTCTCAGGCCTAATCTACAGACGAACACGGTCCTATTGAGAGGGGATGTTTGCTCCTCCTACTCTCTCCCATTACTGACCCATGAATTAATTTTATTTTAGGTCTTTATGTAGGTAAACCTCACCAACAGCATGGAATTAGAAGGTCACCTTTAACTCACTAGGAGAACTCTCTCCACTTTTACAGATGAGGAAACTGAGGCCCCAAAAGAGTTTTCCTTGTTTCAGATTTAACATCACTTCCTCCTCCCTGCTCCCATTAGTCAACTGAACTGAAGTTCTTGAGGGCAAGGGTCACCAGGTCTGGTGCATTGTCTCCATCCGGAATTACACCTCTCCGTCTCCTCTTGCTTTCCATATAGGACGGTGAACGCGCCTGAGCACACGCCGTGTGCTAAGGAAACCATGTTTGGATTGAATTGAACCCCTCCACAATGAGGACCATTTAGAGGCACTGAGTTTGGCCTCTGCGTGAATAATTGCTTCGGGCTGGCCCACTGAGCAGTGAACAGCAATGGAACCAAGGACACCTATCACGTGTGTAGTCTTGTTTGTCCGACTATGTCATAAATGCCATCTTGTAGGAACGTATCTTGTAGCCCATAGCACTCGGAACAGTGCTGGTCGCAGAGTAAAGCCTCATTTAAAACATTTCAACTGATAGACTGCTCTCGGATCGAAAACCAGATCTCGGTCCATGTTTCAGGCAGCAGCTGGAGTAGCTTTTCTTTCCGAGAGAGGCACTGCAGGGCCAAGGAAGCGCTTCTTGTTTGGCTTCAACGCCTTACATTGGCCTTGAGGAAACGTATCTGGAATCTGGTGCTGCCTTTTAGATGCCAAAGAAATACTTTGAAAGTGGTACAATAAAAATGGAATCTTTGTTATCAGATAACTTAAGGTAGTAGCACACCTCCAAAGGATACAAACTTTATTTTGCTTCATCCACAATGTGTTACCTGCTCCCCTTGGGGCTATTTTTAAGACCTTGGGCCTGAAATGGCCAATCCTTGAGTGTGATCTGATCCTGGGTTTGAAATTATTTGCACCATGCTATAGCAAATTGACCCACCCATGGCACAGCTTGGCTATTTCTACTTTTCTTAGTTTGGTCCTTACTCTGGTAGCCTCATTTTTAAAGGAGAGAGGTCTTGTTGAGATAGTCATAGAATCCTACTTAATTTGAGCTAGTTTAACCTCACAAATGAAATTATCTCCAAGGAGGAAGAAGGCCACTTATTTTAGTCATGAACCCAACCTTACTGCTGAGCACCCTCTACTGTGTTCGGAGGTAGATGAGTTTAGTAAGAATCAGTCGAGGAATCCAAAATACTTTATTACTGAAGATTGCAACTTCTGCCCCTTGCCTTCTTTCCCACAAAGGGAGCTGGTATCTTGGTGGAGGGTGGGAAGGAAAGTGAAAGAGCAGAGTATGAGAATATTTGTCATTGACTATTATTTGTACTACCCCACTTCTATGAAGAGAAAATTATAGGTGGTTAGGAGTACCAGGGAGCCAGTAATACAAGGTTGATCATAAAAAAAAAAAACCCTGGAAATTTACTTGTGAGGTTCCACTAACTATATTTCTTCTGTGGAATCATTGGCTAATCATGGTGCACACAGAACCATATCCACCTGGAGAGACAGGCATTCAAAACTATAGGCCATGTTCAAGGGTAGTGAGTGTCCAGCTGTCTAAAAGAAGTCCCTGAAGCATTCTACTTAAGCACTTCCTTTGGTGGTCTGAAACCCCTAGTTTAGAAGAAATTGACTCATCAGATGTCTCTAAGAGGTCCAACTTGCTTAATTCTTCAGTCTGAGGTTTTGTTTTCCCCTGACACACAGGCTGAATAATGCATCATATTCTTTACTACCCGTACATGTTTCACTTAGTGACCACTTAAATGGTGCTTTTCGAATTCTAAGTCAGGCTCCCCAACTTCGTTGGAAGAGATTGAGAGTATGCAGAAGAACAGGCCGCTGAGCAACTGGATGTTCTGCCTTTTTTTCAGGTCCCCATTTGGTAAACCGAAGACTTCTATAACTAATGCATTTAAAATGGAGAGAGGAATTGTGGACAGTGATGAGGTAAGGAAGAGAATTAGCAGATGCTTATTTGTAATCTTTCCTTGGAGTTGCTTATATATTTTTTAAAAAATTTTATTTATTTTCAAGTACATTTTTTTGTCTATTTCTTCCATCCCAGCCCCCCTGCCCCGTGCTCCCCACCTCCCTCCCATTTCCTCCCCCCCAGTCCTCATCCCTGTGTCTTTCATACTTGTTCCTCAAAATCCCTCCCCTTTTTTCCCCTTAAATTCCCTTCCCTCTCCCCTCTGGTCACTGCCCACTTGTTCTCTATTTCAGTGTCTTTGTTTTTATTCCGTTTGCTTGTTTGTTTTGTTGTTCAGCTTCCTGTTAAAAGTGAGATCATATGGTATTTGTCTTTTAACACCTGGCTTATTTCACTCGGCATAATGCTTTCCAGTTCCATCCATGTTGTTGCAAAGGGTAGGAGCTCCTTCTTTCTCTCTGCTGCATAGAATTCCATTGTGTATATGTACCACAATTTTTTGATCCATTCATTTACTGATGGGCACCTAGGTTGCTTCCAACTCTTGGCTACTGGAGTTACTTATATTATAAGCCATGTCTTCCAAACTTTCTGTTGAGAAGCAGAAAAGGGTCAAGATTTATATAGAAAGCAAGGTCAGTTGATCCAGTCTTTTGAGCGGGAAACAGACGCAGAAGAAAGGAGAGACAGGGAATCCACAGGAGAGAAATAAATCAGGGCACAAAACCCAGGGACCAGGGGCTGGATCTCAGGGCGTGAGTGAGCACTCAACCCTGACTTACTAGGACTCCTGGCCACTTCTAGCAGCAAAAGCTTGGTTACTTCCCCAGGTTTATTAACTTTAAGTGAATTTTCCAGGCCAACTTTTATCAGCCGGAGGGACTGCTATTCCACATAACAAAGATAAAACATACTCCAATTTGGACACTTTTGTGGGTTTCATCATCTGCTGGAGACAGATTTGGAGCAGAGAGGCACTACCTCGGAAATATTCAGGAGTAAAAACATTTTGCCCAGAGAACTTCCCCACTATAATTCATTAAAAACAAACAAACCTATGACCATCTTTACACCTTTCCTCCCACAAAATTTTCTTTAGATTTCTATACATATGATTCTAAATATGTATTTTATAGGTCGAATCTGTGAGGCAGGTTTTTCACAATATGTTTTCAGTTTGAACAGAGAGACTTTAGTTTTCTAAAAGGTAATCAAAGTTAAACGATCGCATCTTTGGATTTGCTCCGCGTATCATGTCCCCCTCCCAAAGGAATGCTCGGAGTCACTTTGCTGGACTTGGGGGCAGGACCACGGCCTGCCCTCACCCGCAGTTCTCCCTCTTTCCTACTACTTCCCCTCCTCACCTGCTTGCTTCACCCACTCTTTCAAGTGCATGTCCCCTTTCTTCCGTGTCCCACCTTACCATACATATCACCCCGGTGGGGACATGGCAATGTCTAGAAATGCAGATCCCAGTGCAGGATTTTGTGCCCCTCCGTTTTCTGATTTTGCCAAGCCCGAAGGAGGTAGCTCAGCTTTTTCGATCTCGGTCCTCATCCCTGTGACTTACTCATCCTCAGGGAACCTAGGGCTGGCCTTGAGGCTGGGCAACATGCTGAGGTCAGCAGAGGGAGAGGCAGGTGGCCCGGCCCCTTTCCCACCAGATAGGACACTCCGCTGGTCAATCATCAGCACTACCACCAGCATAAAAATGCAAAGTGGTGGACAGGAGTGTTAGCAAAATTCAATTATTTTGGTAACATTTTGGGATGACTCGTACACCGCAGAACCATTCAAAAATGCGAAATGTTGTTTCTCCCTTCCTCTGCGAGCCTGCCTTCTCCCAGGTCAGCGGCAGTTATCCCCAGGGCTGCCTTCGCTCACAACCCTTAAGTTATTGCCCTTTCTTGTGACTTGCTTTTCTCCTTGAAGGTTGTCCTCCATGTCGTCCTCCTGGTTTCACTCCTACAGGACTGAAAAGGCAGAAGAAGGAGGTGTGATCTCTTGGAGAGATCCTCCCCTGTCTGTCTGAACTTTGACACTGCCCTTGTCTACTTCCCCTCCTAACGGCTCGACACTGGGTGCCAACCACGAAGCACGTGGTTCCCTGTACTTGATGTAAAGCAGGGACCACATCTTAGAGAGAGGAAGGAATGGGATACAGTTTAGGATAGGTGCAGCTCAAAAACCACTAATTGTGATTATAATTGTCTCTAGATTTTTGATCCAGGCGGGCAATCCAAATTCGTTCTCAAGAACCTTCAGCATTACACAGTCCATCCTCAATTGGTAGGTGGATAAAGGATTTCCCCCAAAAGCCCTAAAAGCAAGTTGCAGAGGTGGGGCAGAGGCCTGCTGCAGAGTGTCCTCCAGCTACTGCCACTTCAGTGACTCCCTCTCCAAGCCTCTGCTTTCCTTCTGTTGACAGAAAAACAAATTTAGTGGGACTGCCCCTTCCTCCAACCCACATCTTAAGTGACATGCTGTCTTTTGTGACTGCTTGTCCTTTTTAACCTTTCACTTATTATGCATGGCAATGTGGTCACGCCTGTGGGAAAATGTTGGTGGGTGGGAACATTGGTGTCACCTCCACTGTTAAAATTCCCTGAGCGAAGAGATCGGGGCACTGGCCCTTCCACCCTCTGCCTTGGAGAGTCGTGGAGAAGAAGGCCTATGAGGTTTAGCATGGAAACCTCGCTGTTTGACTCACTGGGCTGAACAAATTCTGTTACACTCTTTCAGGAGAATTAAGTCATCTTTCTTCCTTTAATGTAGACATCTCTCCATGCTATTTCCCCAGCCCCTCAGTCTATTTGTGGGGTATGCTCTGAGGGAAGAGAGGACCAGTGAGCTTCATGCATCAGAGCAGATTTGTCCAGTCCCCGTCCAGCCTCGGTCCCTACCCCACAGAGGCAGAAGACTAGCCCACTGATTTGTTCATCTTCTCTTGACACCATCCGTTTGTCTCCTGGATACCTTTCTGTCTGTCTGCTCAGGGTCAATACTATGAGCCGTTGAAACCCACCGCACTGCAGAAACTCATGGCTCGGAACGAGAAAGTCTTAAGCTTCATGCTCAAAGTCACGGAGTATGATCAGGATAAGACCTTACTGATACTGACCAACAACCCACCTCCCTCCCCGATGGACCAGCACGGAAAGGACCTCCCGCCAAAATACTTTCCCAAGGATTTCCTGCTCAAGGTAATGGCTCCTGGGGAAGTCTCCCAGCACCCTAAGTAAGGACCCTGAAGAATTTGGAGTTAGCTTGAAGAAGGAAGCTAACTTAACATGGTATTCAGGAGTCAACTTTTCCCTCTAATTCTTTGCCATATGCTTCACCAAACAGAATCTGGAGAGCCTGGGAAATACTCAGAGAAAGAGTTGGATGAGCTTGGGTCATGAAACTTCATTGCACAGAGAAAACAGAATCTTCACCTGAAATTGTTTGTCCCTGGACGAAGATATTTAGTTTGTAATTAACAAAGGATAAACTACCCCAATGCCTTTCTAGTTGAGTATAAAGTAGTAAAGGATGAATTGAGAAATGAAGAATAAGGAACAGAAGTGAATACCTCAATGGGAAAGGAGTAACAGGTTATACTTTATACCTGTTGCTTTTGGATGTTAAGGGGAGAGGAACAGAGCCGGGAATTTACTATCACAGCATCCAGACATTTTGGACTCTGTTATATACTAAAAAAAGTTCAAAGTCAATTTGATAACCAATTACTAAAAATACACTAATCTAAGAAATAAAATATAAAGATGATTACAGGACAGTTTGTACCTTGGGGTCTAACAGGAGAGACAGATCAATAAGTGAGAACTATAAAAGTGATTATAATATAGTAGGATATATGAGTTATAAAAGAATATGCAAGCTAGAGAACTAATACACAATGAAGAACAGTATTTCTTTTGGGAGAAAGGGAGTAACCAGTGATGCTTTCCAGAAGAGATAACCCCTGACAAGAGAAAAGGAGGACATTCCAATCAGAGGGAAGGGCAAAGACATGAGACACTGAGGTACATTTAGGGAGTTGTGAGAAAGTAAAGAGCGGCAGATAAAAGGATATAATCAAATTTGCATTAATTTAGAAAAGACCTTTTCTTGGAGGTTGGGAAAAAGTTGCATTATTTGTGAAAGAGACAGAAATCAGAGATTAATTGTGATGTTACTACAGTCATCAAGGTAAGCTATGCTGAGAAATTGAACTAAATCAACAGCAGAGGAAGTGAAAAAATCAATTTAAGAGATATTTAGGAATCAGGATCTAAAAACAATCTCGATACCCCTGTCCAGGTAGTTCAGTTGGTTAGAGCATCATCCAAATATGCCAAGGTTGGGGGTTCGATGCCTGCTGAGAAGACATACAAGAATCAACCAATGGGTGCATCAATAAGTGAAACAACCAATCAATGTTTTTATCCATCTCTCTCTCTTTATCTCTCTCTTTCTCTCTCCTCCCCCTTCCACTTTCTCTCTCTTTCTCAAATCAATCAATAAGAAAATAAAAAAAATATTTCGATAGTCTTGAGAAAGAACCTAATATAGCAAGAAGAAATTAAATGAGATGAGTAAAAGTACAAAGAAAGAATATAATTATAATGGAGATTTGAAGTTGGGAATGGAATTACCCAAGACAGATTTTTGTAATAGAGTGTGGTGAATTTGGAATTAGTATCTCCTTAGTTGCTACATGAACAGCAGTGAGAGATTCCTTTGTGAACGGAAGATAAGATGCTAGTATCCAAAGGTATATGCTGTCAAAGGAGTTAAAGAATTTCCTGCCTGTGGTCTCTTTGGTCTAGAATTTGTGCCTCTGAGTGTACACTCAGTGGCTGTTTCTCAGGGTAAGGTAATACACCCTGAGAGAGGGACAAATCCCAGGCCAGGACTGTGCTGCTCAAGGTAGAGATGGAAATCCAGGACTGTCATGTAACCTTGGCACAAGAAGAGCTCTCTTCCAACAGCTGGTACTTGAGAGTCTTCCAGAACACATGCAGGACCTGAACATACTTATGAGCAAATTGTGGTACCAGCCAGATTGTATTAGTAGAGCTAAGGCTCTGCTTGTCAAAGGCTAGCACTATGGTAATTTTGTTTGTGCGGCTCTCTGAAACCAGTCCGAGAAGATGGAAATGCCGAGAAGATGGAAGTATTTAGAATGCTTCTTTAGTGTTTATGCTGCATCCCTTCTTTCTCTTGCCAGAAAATGTGACCATCTTTTGAGAGCCTAAGATCTTCCACTAAAGAAGCATTCTTTTGCCCAGGCATGTGCATTAGAAGATTGTGGGTTCCAGCTGGCAACATGGAGAATGGAATAGATGGTTATACTGCCACTGTGATGGTTATACTCAGAGCCCCTTCTAAGTGAAGTGGACCATACCACAGTTTGTGAAAGAAAGGGTGCCCTATAAGGTCCTATTTTGTATAACTAGCCTCGATCCTCTATTCCTAGCTGAGACCAGAGAAGCACACCAGACCCAGTGAAGGAAAATCCATAGGTCAGTTAGTGACCTGTGGTGGCTGCCATCATACCCAAACTGACCAAAAATGAAACCAGCCACTTTATCCACAACCCGGTCTGTGACCTAATCAGATTTCTTGCTTCCAGGCGTCTGAATTGGGAAAGGAAGATATAGGCAGTGGGAATGAATGCGGAAAGGGCACAGAGAGGCCAAAAAGAAAGTAGTGTAGGGACCATGAGAACAGGAGAGGGGCAGGTTGAAGTTACAGAGAAATAAATATAAATGAATAAACAGAAGCTATAATAGAAAAAAGGTATACAGGGTAAGGTAAGCAGTGAACGAAGAGAAGAGGAAGCAGGTAGGAAAAAGTAGGAGGAATATTAATGATATGATAGAGAATCAAGATATGCAAACTCATGCAGTGGTGGTCCTTAGCTAGTGCTGTCTTGGATTCCAAATAACTTTTCCATTCCTGTTTTTCTGCTATGAGATTAAACATTTATTACCAAATGTTTGGTCTACTTAGCAATTCAATAATGGAATCCTCCTCAAAATGGGGTGAATTTTTCTCTGGCTCTCTTCAAAGGGCCAGTGGGCATGTCAATCAATTACACAGGAAACTGACAAGTCATCTGTCAGGGAAACAAACATGTATTAGCCCACTCAGAACCACTTCCTCCTCTTAAATTCTGAGTCCCCACTTCCTTCTCTGATAGGTGTGGTTGCATCATTTGGGAAATTGGAACTTAGTTCAAGAACTTAGTTCAGCCTCTAAGTCCCAAGGTCTGCGCTTGACTCCCTCACTTTCCTTCCCTCTGCTGCAGGAACGGCATCAACAGCATAAACCTACTGAGAACATCTGCCTACTCTCAAGGCCTCAGAAAAAAACGTTCAGACCTGAGCTGAAATCAGTCTTCCCTGTGACACTGTGGAAGGGTCCTACAAGAACATCCAAGCAAGAACAATGGTTTAGGTGAAGTCTTGGCTGCTCTTGTCATTTTCTTTCCTATCATTTCCTTATTCATGCTACGATTTCTTTTAAATATGATCGAATATTTTTTGCCTGTAGGGGATAGGTACACATGTATATTAATAAGACACAAAGACACAGCTTACTGCTCAGGCTGATGTGGTTCAGTTAGTTGGAGCATCATCCTGTAGACTGAAGGGTCATGGGTATGATTCCTGGTTAGAGCACATACCCAGCTTGTGGGGTCAATCCCCAGTCTGGACGCATGTGGTTCCCAGTCTGGGCACTTACAGGAGCAACTGGTCAACGCTTTTCCCTCGCGTGGATGCTTCTCTCTCTCCCCCTTCCTCTTTCTCTAAAAAGCAATGGGAAAAATGTCCTTGGGTGAAGATAAAAAAATAAGTCATGGCTCCCCTAGATCATTCCCAACATTATTTACACTCCAATGAGAGAGAAACAGTAATGCACAGCTAAGGTTTTTCACTGAGAAGCATTTTCAAGAGTGAAGAGAAAATATTCAGAAGTCTATGAGTTGGGGAAATAGAAACATTTTTGCCCTCAGTGCATGATAAGGGCTCTCGCATGGAAGAACGTGCTATGAGTTTTCATTGGAAAGGAGTCCTAGGAGCAGCCTGTATCTAGTGTGGAGAGGAGAGAGGAGATCCTGAACTTCCTTCACAGGTTTACAAGGCTGGGATCTAAAAGCATCCCTTTCACTGAACAGTATGCCCACTCTGTGCCAAGGAACACCTGCTAACCCGAGTGTGGTGACTGGTTCCGTGAGCCCCCAACCCTAGGGTTTACTAAATGAGCTTTCTTTGTTAAGGTTTTCCACCGAGAATGATTTTAAGAGTGAAGGGAAATATTCGATGCTCTGTACTTTGAGGAAGCAGAAAAAAATGTACCCGCAGCTCACCTTTGCTCAAGTCTGTAACAGAGACACGATAAAAGATGGTAAGCTCCTCTCTTGCAAAACAGCAGCTTACAGGACAGAGATGTGGGGACAGCCTATGGGGACAAGAGATAAGGGCAAATCGATGTCTCTTGTGGAGGTTCTGGGGACTCTTTTTCCTTGTAGCACAGAAGCTAAGAACTGATAGAGGCTCAGGTGGGGCTAGGCTTTGGATTCTGTTTAAATCCTCAAATTTCAAGAAGCCATCGTATGGCGCTTCCCAGACTGTATCACCTAGCACTCTAATAGCTTTGGTATATCAGTGTGTTCTTTGCCCTGTTATTTTCTTACCGTTTTTGTTCTTGTCCTAATTAACACTATATCATTAACATGGGTTTGATATGCTAATTACATGTTTTTTTTCTGACGTGCATTTCATCAAATTTGTAATAATTAAAATTTAAAACATTTTCTAAAATTTAAAATTATCTCCTAAAACTGTGCAGTGGTATACATATCACACTTGAGGAAAACTGTCCTACAAGGGCCCAAGGATAAATCTGTGTGTCTCAGAGATACACAAATCTCTGTGGGAAGGAGGCAGGACCTGGGCTCGAAGGGGTTTGGGATAAGTTTGTATGGAATGGAAGAAGGTATAATGAAAACGCTCCTTACAAAAATGATCGTTCATTTAAGAACATTTATAGGGGGCCTAGTAAGTGTTGAACACTTATTGAACACGTCCAATATATGAGATCGATAGATGGGCCAGACCATCAGGGGCTGGGGTTATTCGATTGAGGGCTTGGGTTTTCTCCACTAAGCAGTCGGGACCCACTGAAGAATTTCAGAGCACCCAGTGGACATTTGTGTATTAGGAGTATAATTGATGGGTCCCCAGACTCCACCAGCTATGGCTTCAAGATAAGGTTGTTTTCTCCTATGAGATTTCCTCAAGCAGCTTCTGGAGCTCCCTCAAGTATGTTTAGCTGTTCCACAAGGCCATCCCACTGATGGCTTAACACCTTTGCCAATTGTCCTATCTAAATATTCACTTTCCAGAGCTCTGTGGTCATATTTTACCATCCCTTTAATGGCTTCTCTGCTCCTCCTGCACCCATTTGCCACCCCCACCCATGCCCACCTACTTCCCATAGGTGCTCTCTTAACTCCCCATATTCAACTAAAACCAAGCTGTGATAGTTAACAATACTTTGTAGATGGGGAGAGAAGTTAAAGAACAACAGAGAATATTTTTTTCTTGCTTTAAAAAAAGGCTACTTGCTTTAAAATGGGCTCAGTTCCTTCATAGTCCCCAGCACATGAATCAATCTTGGGAATCCCCTGGCTTATCTATGCTCTTTCTGCCTAGGCCACAATAACCTTGGCCCGAGGAAAGAAAGGGAAGAGAATCACTCTTTCCCCAAAACCTGTTTAAATTTCAGCCCAAGAAGAAACAAGTAGGAACATTTACAGATGGCCCCTGACTTAATGACAGTTTGACTTATGATTTTCTGACTTTACAGTGGTGAAAAAACAATATGCATTTAGTTAAAACTGGCTAGGCTAAGCTATGATGATAGGTAGGTTGAATTTTCAACTTAGATATTTTCAGTTGACAATGGGTGATCAGGGCACAACCCCATTGTAAGTTGAGAACCATTTGTATTTCCTTCAGGGGAAACTCTACCTGGAAAGTAAAGTTTGAGCTTTATAGGCCAGATAAGGCAAACATAATTGCTAATAGTACTTTTAGTAAAGTCGTAGTTAAATCTTAAATGATACCATATGTTGGATATCACAGTTCAGTTTAATCTGTAATCTAATGTAGATGAGAATTTCTCTAATTTTTCAAGGGCACGATTCTATCAAGGATATGCCCAATTTATATTTCTAACCAGAATACTTAATATCCCAGTCTGCAGCATTTTATTACAATTACAGTGACTTTACAGTTTCCCTAAAAAGGGGGAGGGTGGTACTGACTTAACTTATGTATCTAAAAGGGCCCATTATGATGCTTTTCCTTAGCAAAGACAATGTACTGTGAAGTCGAAAACATGTCTCCACTTCAAGTAAAAGCTCCATTGCTGGAAACCACTTCCTTCCGCCAATAATGTCCCATATTTACCAGGCATCCAAATGAAGAAAGATAAAAAATGCTTGGATGGGGCCCATGAAGGCTGGTGAGGAGCCTGTCCAAGAGGCAGATGATAGGATCCGAATTAAGGTGTTGTCAGTAGGACTAAAGAAACATATTCAAGGGATAGTTACAAGGCATAATGCATCAAAAAGAGTCGGGAGGGACGCTTCCAAAAACAGAGAGGAAAGAGAATCTGGATCAGTGATGACACTGAAGCCAAATGTAGTTTCTTAGTTACATTCTCAGGCAGGAGACTGAAAACCAACATGCACTTTAGGAAAAGGCTGAGGGATAAGAATGTACAAGTGAATGCACCTTAACTTAGTAAGTTACATGAATGTCAATATGATTTTGGATGGATCATTGGAAAGGGGTGAGATTAAACAGGGAAGACTAAACTGGCAGTGTGTTAAACGGGGTTTTGAAGAAGGTAGAGAATCCAGAATTCCTATAAAGAATGCTGGGAATGGTAGTCCGGTAGTCCAAACTCTTTCTCCTTGCTAAGAGTAAAGACCACTTTTCCTGTCTCACCAAGTAGGTCAATTTCATGCCCCACGTTGTGTTCTAGCCCCTCTGGAAGGCCGCATTCACCAAGGTGCACTGTGTTTTGTTGCAGTCTCCAAGAAGTCAGAAAGTTACACGGCGACTTCGAAGATGAATTGGGAACCACTAACCCTTGCATCGCTTCTAAAGGAGAAGCCCACCAGGATCGCGCCTGGGGAGAAAGACTTCCGCTTTGGAAGGGCCCAGCATTGGTTCATTAAAAATACCACTGTCATTAAGTAAAATCAAACACTTCAGGACTCTAGCCTAGGTCTTCAAAGACTGCGAAGCCAGCATCAGTCTCCATCCAGGGCATGTCAACCAAATAAAATTGCATTCTGTCCGCTCCGGGCACGTGCGGTCCAATCGCTCGCAGGGCGCGCCAGGGCGAGCCTCCGGTACGGACCAGTTGCGGCAGGAGCTCAGAAGCGGAGCCCCAGACCCAACACCTGCCCCCGCCTTGGCTGGTTAGGGGTACACGGGAGGGCGTGGCCGCGCCCCCAGGGGACCGGAGCAGCCGCGACTGCCGGGGAGGGCGGGCCTTCTCTCCGAGTGACGGGCGGGCGGCCCAACCCGCGCCAGAGCCCGGGGCCGGCCTTCCTGCAGCCTCTTCCGCTCGCCGGCTGAGGTGCCTGGGAAGGTTGCAGTGGGTCTGGGCGCTGGGAAGTGGTCCAAGATGATTAAAAAATTCGACAAGAAGGACGAGGAGTCTGGTACGCGCTGGGCTTCTGACGCCCACCCTCCGCCATGGGGGGGGTCCCTTCCCCTCCAGCCGCCACCTGCTCTCGGGGATGCGGACCGGGGGGCGTGGGCGCCGGTGTGCCAGGGGGCCGGTTCCAGCAGGGGGCCTGCCCCTAGCCCCTCCCCCGGCGCCGCAGCGCTCGCCCCCACCCTGTCGCGCGCTCCAGCCCAGCCCCCCCCCTCCGGCCCTCCCCACCACGCGCCTCATCAGCTTGCTTGGCGGCCCCGCCCCTTCCCTCTACCCTTTCTCCTTCCCCACTGCCTCCCCCTTCTCCCGGCGTTTCTCTTCCTAGCCGTCTCCTTCCCGCTCGCCCCGGGTGGGCTGCTCGCGTTGGCGGCGGGCGCTGGGCAGGTGGCGGAAGGAATGGGTGTGCGCGTGTCAGAGGCGAGGGGTGCTGGTAGCGTGGGGCCCAGAGTGGGTCTCAAGTCCACGAGACCGTGTTGTGTGCGTGTATATGAACTTTGAGGTGTCTTGTACCTTAACAGTTTTCCCGGGGACCTTTACACTACTTGCTTCCCACGGGGCAATAAATACTCTCTCATGGTACATAGGTGATTCAGTGAATCCCATAGTGGCGTCTTGATACTTTGGTCCAGAGCAAAAGGGGAAGATATCAAGCCACCTTACAAACAAAACAGAACTCAGCGTTTGATAGCTGCTCTCATAAAGAGCTGTAGAAGGTTGGGTTAGTAAAAGCTCCATGGTCCCTTCCCCCTTTCAGTTTATATGATTATCTGCTAAACTCTTCGCTTCATAGTAAATGTTAAAAACACATAAAATCGTGCTTGCCTTTAGGGAACCCCAAAGGTCCCTACCACAGTCTTACTAATCTTGGTTGTGTGGACATGACATATTTGTAACCTTCATGTAAAAATGGACAGGAGAAAGAAGACAATCATTTCAGGCAAAGGTTCCTGCAAAAGTACAAAATCTTACAGGGAAGCAATGACAGAAATCGTTTCAGAATCAAAATGATTAATTTATAGACATAGATGTCCAAGTGGCCACTTGTCTTAGGTGAGCTATCCCAAGCGTTCAGTAGTACCCTTCTATAGAAAATAAGTTTGTGTAGGACAGCTATTAAAGATATGTTTTGTTTTATACTGTAGGTAGTGGCTCCAATCCTTTTCGGCATCTGGAGAAGAGCGCGGTCTTACAGGAGGTATGGTTTGGAGGTCCATTGTGTTTCAGTTCCATTTTAGAATGGGGGGCAGAGAGCCCCTGGAATGTTGATATCCAAAATAAGAGTTGTGGAGTATAATTGAGTTCAGAGAACATACACTTGAGGGAAAAGGATGAAGCGTTGCTGGTCAAAGGAGAGAGAAATGCAAAAACATGCGGGCTGTGCCACATGTTGAGAGTTTTCAATAAAATGCCAGGTGTTTAGTGTAAGGTTATTGAAGGAAGTTACAGATATTAGACTCACTGTATTCAGTGATGTAGATAAATATTATGATTCTTATTTAACAGATAGAGCCTACAAAGTTGAAGTGAAGTATTAGACTTAAGGGAAAGAGAGAGTATAGAATGGAAAATCAATAATTTTCCATTAGATGGCCACATCTAATAATGTGTCATATACCATATACTAAGTTGAAAACTATAGGTAGCTAACATTATTTGGATATTGTAATTAATATACATAATAGTCTTTATTTTATTAAAGTTGATTATCTGTAATCCGAGATGGAAAAAGTAGAAAATATACTATGTGTAACTTTTTTGTTTCCAGGCTCGTCTGTTCAATGAAACGCCCATCAATCCAAGAAGATGTTTGCATATTCTTACAAAGATTCTCTACTTACTGAACCAGGTAAATTATTTTGATTTTCCTCAGATTTTTTGTGTCTTGGAATAGAAACATGTAAGGTGTAGTAAAGTACTTTCTGGAAAGTAGAATCATTTTTTTAAAAATTCACTTCTTTTAAAAAAACCTACAATGTTACTTAACATAATATATGAAACTTCTTGAGGATGAGGACTGTGACATATACCATATTTTGCTGTGTGTAAGGCTCACCCATGTTTTCGGCCCAAACTTTCAGGAAAAATAATCTTTCATTTTAATTTTTAATTCAGTTATTTATTTATTTATAGATATTTGCCTTTTGCATTATAAAGGAATTTTAGCATTATTTCTGAACATATTATGGTACAAGAAGTTTTATGTAACAAATAATTACAAAACACAAGAACAGATACAAGGTACAGAAATTTTTTAAAGAATTAAAAACAGATACAGAAATAGTGCTATGTGTGTATAATACGCATCTTTATTTTTCCTTAAAAATTTGGGCAAAATGAGCATTATACACTGCAAAATATTTTTTTATTCATGAGCTACTAAAGCAGTTAAGCACATAGTAGATTCTCAATATTGATTTGAATTTAACAGGTATCAGTTAATGTTAAAACATATTGTTTAGAATTGTTCAGAAGTCATTGTTCCTCCAGACATATAGTACAAAGCCTTAAACATGTTCTGAATAGATGTTTTACCCTTTTGGGAGTGTGGGTGGGTATATAGTGATGTTTTAAATCTTTGCTTTTAATATTCAGGTTTTATATTTATTATCCTTACTCCATCTTACAACAATATGGTTCTAGGCTTAACCATTTAGTGCCTTAATGCCCTTTTCTATAAATGGGAATCATGATCATCATATTTGTTTTATGAAGTTGTAGTGATTAAATGAGATAATAAATGTAAAGCATTGAGAATAGTCCTGGATACATAGAGAGCATTCAGGAATAGTTTTCATTCAGTGATTCAGCAAATATTTACTACACATCTGCTGTACTATATACACTGTTTTAGACACTGAGAGTATAACACAAAAACCAACAAAAATTTTTGCTCTAAATGAAATAGGTTCTATTTGCAGTTATTAGTAATTTAATTTTTATTTTTTGTTGTTTTTGACTTAAAATCTCATGAAATGTCTAGGCCCTCTGAAAATGTGAGTTTGTTTCTTAGACACATACGTGTGCACACCCCCCAACACACACCCTCAGATGGTTTACATGTGGTGCTAAGAAGACTATGGTTTCCAATTTGAACTCCATGAGAATATTTTATCTTTACTATGTTTCATGACTGAAGACCTCATCCAGAGGCATAATAAAATTTTGTAGTTTGCAAATGGATATTGAGCAACAAGTACATACTTTTAAATAAAGTTCACAAAGTTCATATTCCTCTGTGGTAGCATATTGGAAACATTGAAGGCATGGGTCCAGCTTAGCTAAACCCATCATATAAGCAGGGTTTTGAGTGGTTAGCGTTAGTTTAGAGAAGCATATACTTTTGTATTGGCCAATAGCTCTTTGATGGGCGCAACTCATGTTGAAACATTTAATTATCTTGATAAGGAAATTACCAAGCACAATCTGGTGCATAAACAGGTTTGGGAACCTGTGTTTTTTCTTTTGCCTAGATCCTGGGAGAGCTTTATGGAAAAATACTTTTAAATTTCTACCAGAGTTGACATAGCCATATATTCTCTGAGTTTTAAGTCAAGTAGGGACTAAAGTTTTACCAATGTGAGTGAAATGTACATGGATTTCTAGGTATTCAGGAAATAGTTATGAAGGAAGGAGGGAAATCTGCTGGTGAGCAATCTGGATATTCTGATTGAAGCAATTGGAAACTATTATACTTTGTTTTTCATCCTAAACTTTCAAAGTTTTTCCATCAAAATTGGCTTATTGTTAGTGCCGTGACAGACGGAGTGAAGACTGTAAATATTCTGTGTAAAATCTGAAGTTCCGAAAGTGATTGGGCCTATCAGGTTTTATAGGATTGAATGAAGAGACCGAATATTGAAATGGTAATGCTTCAGGTGGCTTGTGATCTGCATTGCCTGGACTCTATAAGTGAAATAGGTTATTTAACGTCTTGTTCCACAAAAAGTGTTTCTCAGATCGGCAGCATTCTCATTACTGGGAGCCCCTCAGAGCCCTTGAGTCAGAAGCTGCGTTTTGGCAAGATCCGCAGCTGATTTATTGAGCACACTGAAGTTCTGATCCAAAGCATGTTTTTAGGGGCTTGAGCCAGTATTTTGAGATCTGTTAGCAGCCCCTTAAGCCTTTTATATAAATAATCTGGTTTCTGCCCTTTTAGTGGGTCTCTTTAAGTTATGTTTTCTGGAGTCCTAGTCGTTCTTTACAGTTTAATATTTATGATGTTCCTATTCATTATGATCTGTGCTTGTAGGCAGTGTCTTGATACCATTGCAATCTGATTAGGAACTCAACTTGGTATTATTTTCTACCTCCTTATAAATCATAGTTCTTCAGGAAAATTAAAATAGTACCTGCAGTAAAGTTAGAGGCCACTATTCTAGAACGTTCATAGCAGGTGTGTGCTACTGAATTGTTTTAAATAAGGAGCAGGATAATGGCTGTGCCAGGAAAATAGCAAAAAGGCAGAATGTTTACAAATAGATTTTTTCCCCTGCATTCTGAAAGAGTTTTGCAGAAATATAGAGAAAATCCTAAT